GCAGTGGCGTGATCTCGGCTCACTGCAACCTCCACCTCCCGGGTTCAAGCGATTCTCCTTCCTCAGTCTCCTGAGTAGCTGGGATTACAGGTGCCCATCACCACACCAGGCTAATTTTTGTATTTTTAGGAGCGACAGGGTTTTACCATGTTGGCCAGGCTGGTTTCGAACTCTTGATCTCAGGCTATCTGCCCTCCTTGGCCTTCCAAAGTGCTGGGATTACAGGCATGTGCCACTGTGCCTGGCCCTCAGGGGCAATTTAAAAGTCACACAAGACAGGGCACCAAGGCTTATGCCTGTAATCCCAGCACTTTGGGAGGTGGAGTCAGGAAGATTGCTTGAGACCAGGAGTTTGAGACCAGCCTGGACAACATGGCAAGACCTCATCTCCACAAAAATTTAAAAAATTAGCTGGGCACGGTAGTGCATGCCTATAGTTTCAGCTATCTTGGGAGGCTGAGGCAGGAGGATCACTTGAGCCTAGGAGATCAAGGCTGCAGTGAGCTGTGCTTGTGCCACTGCATTCCAGTCTGGGGAACAGAAAGAGACCATGTCTCAAAAAAAAAGTCATATAAGAAAAAGCACTGGCAGGGTGCAGTGACTCACACCTGTAGTCCCACCATTTTGGGAGGCCGAGGCAGGTACATCACAAGGTCAGGAGTTCAAGACCAGCCTGACTAACATGATGAAACCTCGTCTCTACTAAAAATGTAAAAAATTTGCTGGGCGTGGTGGCATGCACCTGTAATCCCAGTTACTCAGGAGGCTGAGGCAGGAGAATCACTTGAACTCGGGAGGCGGAGGTTGCAGTGAGCCAAGATCACACCATTGCACTCCAGCCTGGGTGACAGAAGGAGACTCTGTCTCAAAAAAAAAAAAAGCATTATATAATATAATAATCATAGCTTTCATAATAAGATGGAAACCTGTTTCAATTGAGGACCATGTAAGGTAAATATCAATTTAAATCAGTCTTTTCTAAAAACGGCTATTTAGGAGAGAGGCATATACTGTGTTAAACACGGCAGGGTACATTGGCTCATGCCTGTAGTCCCAGCTACTTGAGAGCCTGAGGCAGGTGGCTCACCCAAGCCTGGGAGGTTGAGGCTGTGGTGAGCCGTGATCATGCCACTGCACTCCAGCCTGGGTGATAGAGTGAGACCCTGTCTCAAAATAAAAAAACCAAAAAAGAAAAAAAATAATAATGACAACTCAAACTAAAACAAAAAAACCTAAAAACATAAAATGTTAAACTTACTAGATTTTTAAATTAAAGACAGGAGTACAAAACAGGCAGAAAAGGAAAGGAGAGAGGAGAAAAGTACACAGGAAAAGAAATAAATAGAAGAGTTGTGGGAATTGGAGTTAATCAGTAAAGGGAGCTTCACGTTTATCTGCAATTTTTAAAAATATAAAAGATGAAGGCCCGGCGCAGGGGCCTGTAATCCCAGCACTTTGGGAGGCCGAGGTGGGCAGATCACTTGAGGTCAGGAGTTCAAGACCGGCCTCGGCAACATGGCGAAACCCCATCTCTACCAAAAATACAAAAAATTAGTCAGGCATGATGGCATGTGCCTGTGGTCCTAGGAGGCGGAGGTGGGAGGATTGCTTGAGCCCAGAGGCAGAGGTTGCAGTGAGCTGAGATTTCTGAATCCAGTGGGACTGATTGCAAAGGAGACCCAAGGAACAGTGCTAAGTTAGATGCCGATTACCCACTTTAAGTCCTTTATTGTGGAGTCTGTTCATTATCAACAGAGTAGAGTATTGTGAATATATGCCTGATGTTGCTCATTGTAGACAATGGTGAGAGAAGAATTTTCCAAAGGAACTTGCAAAACTTACTGTAGAAAATTCACCCAAACAAGAAGCTGGAATTAGTGAGGGTCAAGGAACAGCAGGGGAAGAAGAAGAGAAGAAAAACCAGAAGAGAGGTGGAAGACGCCAAATAAAACAAAAAAAGACCGTGCCACAAAAAGTTACTATAGCCCAAATTCCCAGGGCAAAGAAGAAATATGTGACAAGAGTGTGTGGCCTTGCAATTTTTGAAATTGATCTTAAAGAAGCACAAAGATTTTTTGCTCAAAAATTCTCCTGTGCTGCCTCAGTAATGGGGAGGATGAAATTATCATTCAGGGAGACTTTACAGATGACATAATTGATGTCATTCCGAAAAATGGCCAGAGGTAGATGATGACAGCATCGAAGATCTTGGAGAAGTAAAGACGTGAATTTGAAAATTTGTCTGTATTTAATGGCCTGAACTGGGAGTTGATATGGCCAAAGGGAGGCCTATATATACATATATTTACAGTAGAATATATATATATTTACTGTAGTGTGTGTGTGTGTATATATATATATTCTACGGTAAAACTGCAGACCGCCCTTGTCCTCGGCATTTTCACTGTTCTGTACAAGGCTGCTTGTTTTTTTAATTGCCAAAGTCAAATAAACAGGGAGACTGTCATGCTCATGCATTAATAGAATTTAGTCAAATAAAAAATTTTGGTCATTTGCTGGGCGCAGTGGCTCACACCTGTAATCCCAGCACGTTGGGAGGCCAGGGTGGGCAGATCATGAGGTCAGGAGTTGGAGACCAGCCTGGCCAATATGGTGACACCACGTCTCTACTAAAAAAAATTCAAAATTTAGCCAGGCATGGTGGTGTGCACCTGTAGTCCCAGCTACTCAGGAGGCTGAAGCATGAGAATCGCTGGAGCCCGGGAGGCGGGGGTTGCAATGAGCCAAGATCGCGCCACTGCACTCCAGCCTGGATGACAGAGTGAGACTCCGTCTCAAAAAAA